CAATCGACATTCTTTGTTCCGTTGGGACTGTAGCTTTTGCTCGTTTTCGTTGCGCTTGCCTTCCCCTCTTTGGTCTTTTCCATAACCTTGAACCTTCCAAGTTGGAAGGCTGTCGGTTAGCGCTACGGAGATGTGTTAAAGTTAGGTGTCAGGACGTCGAATGTCTCAGTACTCTGTCAGTTTTGTGCCTAGTTATTGCACTTTCTGACTGTATATAGTATCATGTTACAGTGATGGAGAGTTACTCTAAACTCGTATCCATATGTCCTTTTCTATTTTACATTTATTTATGGCTCAACATCCGAGTTTCAAATTGCACACCTGATGAGCCGTCACGAACCATACGGCGAAACGTACGTCGTGTGAAACAACTTGTTTTGTAGTCAACTAGTCCATCACAATGTCATGCATGAGGAGTACTGTAGGAGTTTGGCTTTCGGCTTGTACAATTCGTTTTCGCAAAGCTTCCCTTTCTTTACTTATCTTTGATATTTATGACCCACCCAAGTTGGGTGGTGTGCTGCTTTGCTGCTTCGAATTGTAGTTAGACCGCTTTGTCAAATATCGTACTGGTCTCGTCATCGTCCAGTAACAATCGACATTCTTTGTTCCGTTGGGACTGTAGCTTTTGCTCGTTTTCGTTGCGCTTGCCTTCCCCTCTTTGGTCTTTTCCATAACCTTGAACCTTCCAAGTTGGAAGGCTGTCGGTTAGCGCTACGGAGATGTGTTAAAGTTAGGTGTCAGGACGTCGAATGTCTCAGTACTCTGTCAGTTTTGTGCCTAGTTATTGCACTTTCTGACTGTATATAGTATCATGTTACAGTGATGGAGAGTTACTCTAAACTCGTATCCATATGTCCTTTTCTATTTTACATTTATTTATGGCTCAACATCCGAGTTTCAAATTGCACACCTGATGAGCCGTCACGAACCATACGGCGAAACGTACGTCGTGTGAAACAACTTGTTTTGTAGTCAACTAGTCCATCACAATGTCATGCATGAGGAGTACTGTAGGAGTTTGGCTTTCGGCTTGTACAATTCGTTTTCGCAAAGCTTCCCTTTCTTTACTTATCTTTGATATTTATGACCCACCCAAGTTGGGTGGTGTGCTGCTTTGCTGCTTCGAATTGTAGTTAGACCGCTTTGTCAAATATCGTACTGGTCTCGTCATCGTCCAGTAACAATCGACATTCTTTGTTCCGTTGGGACTGTAGCTTTTGCTCGTTTTCGTTGCGCTTGCCTTCCCCTCTTTGGTCTTTTCCATAACCTTGAACCTTCCAAGTTGGAAGGCTGTCGGTTAGCGCTACGGAGATGTGTTAAAGTTAGGTGTCAGGACGTCGAATGTCTCAGTACTCTGTCAGTTTTGTGCCTAGTTATTGCACTTTCTGACTGTATATAGTATCATGTTACAGTGATGGAGAGTTACTCTAAACTCGTATCCATATGTCCTTTTCTATTTTACATTTATTTATGGCTCAACATCCGAGTTTCAAATTGCACACCTGATGAGCCGTCACGAACCATACGGCGAAACGTACGTCGTGTGAAACAACTTGTTTTGTAGTCAACTAGTCCATCACAATGTCATGCATGAGGAGTACTGTAGGAGTTTGGCTTTCGGCTTGTACAATTCGTTTTCGCAAAGCTTCCCTTTCTTTACTTATCTTTGATATTTATGACCCACCCAAGTTGGGTGGTGTGCTGCTTTGCTGCTTCGAATTGTAGTTAGACCGCTTTGTCAAATATCGTACTGGTCTCGTCATCGTCCAGTAACAATCGACATTCTTTGTTCCGTTGGGACTGTAGCTTTTGCTCGTTTTCGTTGCGCTTGCCTTCCCCTCTTTGGTCTTTTCCATAACCTTGAACCTTCCAAGTTGGAAGGCTGTCGGTTAGCGCTACGGAGATGTGTTAAAGTTAGGTGTCAGGACGTCGAATGTCTCAGTACTCTGTCAGTTTTGTGCCTAGTTATTGCACTTTCTGACTGTATATAGTATCATGTTACAGTGATGGAGAGTTACTCTAAACTCGTATCCATATGTCCTTTTCTATTTTACATTTATTTATGGCTCAACATCCGAGTTTCAAATTGCACACCTGATGAGCCGTCACGAACCATACGGCGAAACGTACGTCGTGTGAAACAACTTGTTTTGTAGTCAACTAGTCCATCACAATGTCATGCATGAGGAGTACTGTAGGAGTTTGGCTTTCGGCTTGTACAATTCGTTTTCGCAAAGCTTCCCTTTCTTTACTTATCTTTGATATTTATGACCCACCCAAGTTGGGTGGTGTGCTGCTTTGCTGCTTCGAATTGTAGTTAGACCGCTTTGTCAAATATCGTACTGGTCTCGTCATCGTCCAGTAACAATCGACATTCTTTGTTCCGTTGGGACTGTAGCTTTTGCTCGTTTTCGTTGCGCTTGCCTTCCCCTCTTTGGTCTTTTCCATAACCTTGAACCTTCCAAGTTGGAAGGCTGTCGGTTAGCGCTACGGAGATGTGTTAAAGTTAGGTGTCAGGACGTCGAATGTCTCAGTACTCTGTCAGTTTTGTGCCTAGTTATTGCACTTTCTGACTGTATATAGTATCATGTTACAGTGATGGAGAGTTACTCTAAACTCGTATCCATATGTCCTTTTCTATTTTACATTTATTTATGGCTCAACATCCGAGTTTCAAATTGCACACCTGATGAGCCGTCACGAACCATACGGCGAAACGTACGTCGTGTGAAACAACTTGTTTTGTAGTCAACTAGTCCATCACAATGTCATGCATGAGGAGTACTGTAGGAGTTTGGCTTTCGGCTTGTACAATTCGTTTTCGCAAAGCTTCCCTTTCTTTACTTATCTTTGATATTTATGACCCACCCAAGTTGGGTGGTGTGCTGCTTTGCTGCTTCGAATTGTAGTTAGACCGCTTTGTCAAATATCGTACTGGTCTCGTCATCGTCCAGTAACAATCGACATTCTTTGTTCCGTTGGGACTGTAGCTTTTGCTCGTTTTCGTTGCGCTTGCCTTCCCCTCTTTGGTCTTTTCCATAACCTTGAACCTTCCAAGTTGGAAGGCTGTCGGTTAGCGCTACGGAGATGTGTTAAAGTTAGGTGTCAGGACGTCGAATGTCTCAGTACTCTGTCAGTTTTGTGCCTAGTTATTGCACTTTCTGACTGTATATAGTATCATGTTACAGTGATGGAGAGTTACTCTAAACTCGTATCCATATGTCCTTTTCTATTTTACATTTATTTATGGCTCAACATCCGAGTTTCAAATTGCACACCTGATGAGCCGTCACGAACCATACGGCGAAACGTACGTCGTGTGAAACAACTTGTTTTGTAGTCAACTAGTCCATCACAATGTCATGCATGAGGAGTACTGTAGGAGTTTGGCTTTCGGCTTGTACAATTCGTTTTCGCAAAGCTTCCCTTTCTTTACTTATCTTTGATATTTATGACCCACCCAAGTTGGGTGGTGTGCTGCTTTGCTGCTTCGAATTGTAGTTAGACCGCTTTGTCAAATATCGTACTGGTCTCGTCATCGTCCAGTAACAATCGACATTCTTTGTTCCGTTGGGACTGTAGCTTTTGCTCGTTTTCGTTGCGCTTGCCTTCCCCTCTTTGGTCTTTTCCATAACCTTGAACCTTCCAAGTTGGAAGGCTGTCGGTTAGCGCTACGGAGATGTGTTAAAGTTAGGTGTCAGGACGTCGAATGTCTCAGTACTCTGTCAGTTTTGTGCCTAGTTATTGCACTTTCTGACTGTATATAGTATCATGTTACAGTGATGGAGAGTTACTCTAAACTCGTATCCATATGTCCTTTTCTATTTTACATTTATTTATGGCTCAACATCCGAGTTTCAAATTATTATTATTATTATTATTATTACAGTGGCCAAACCAAAACAAAGACAAAACTAAAGACCAAGAACCAGGAACATAAAACAGAGGGAAAGGAAACAAAACAGATACACATTCAAATGTCGTACTACTTTACTATAATAGTACAATACTATAGTTATAATATTTAAGGCAAAAATTAAAATTTCACCAGTTGTAGTCTTCGGGGTGCTGAGTCGAATGGTCTTGGTCCGAGAAAGCTGAGACGCTCCCTTCCTACTTGAATCCCAATCGAACTCGCGCACTTCCACCGAAAATGGGTGACTGCGCCCCACTAGATGGGGATTTGTATGCAAAATGTCACTAAAAGCGCCATTTCGTTCTTATAAAAGCACGGATGACCGCGATTGGCCCATATGTTGTAGTCTTTTGGACGCTGAGTCGACTGGTTTTGGTCCGAAAAGGCTGCGATGCAGCGTTCCTCCTTTATTCCCAATCGAACATGCTTGAACAAGCGGTCACGTGCTCCCGGGTGCCCAAATCACCTGGTTACCATGCCAGCAGGCGACAACTTTCACACCAAGGTTGAACTCGAGTGACAGGACTGCACCCAAAAAAGGTCAAACAGGCTAGTAAGTTGTACCCTGCAGGCACGGTGACCAGGTGACTGGCGTACGCAAGAGCATGTGACCGCTTGTTCAAGCATGTTCGATTGGGAATAAAGGAGGAACGCTGCATCGCAGCCTTTTCGGACCAAAACCAGTCGACCTAGCGTCCAAAAGACTACAACATATGGGCCAATCGCGGTCATCAGTGGCTATAAGAACGTAATGGCGCTTTTAGTGACATTTTGCATACAAATCCTCATCTAGTGGGGCGCAGTCACCCAGTTTCGGTGGAAGTGCGCGAGTTCGATTAGGATTCAAGTAGGAAGGGAGCGTCTCAGCTTCCTCGGACCACGACCATTCGACTCAGCACCCCGAAGACTACAACTGGTGAAATTTTAATTTTTCCCTTAACTTCCCCTTTAACCAGTAGGCAACATGCGACATCTCGGGGTGGGTGGGGGGTGGGGGGAGGAGGTGCAACTGTGCACATCACTCAGAAGAAGCACCACTAATACTTGTTGCCATAATTTTGAAATCTGTTAAATGCATCAGAATGCGGGTGGAAGCACGAGAACACAACGGGCTACGAGTCTATTTCAGAAAATGGAACGGTCACTTGTTCCCAGGGCTATGTGGCAATCCCCGGGGGTGTCAACGGCGTAGAGTCCTGCAACAGAACCTCTTTTCTATGGAAAAACACTGATATTTGCACAGGTTAGTTGAATGTGGTTCTATATTCATCATTGTGTATTATGCTGGAAAGTGTCTGCTACTTCTTCAACAACTTCGTGATGGTATTTGATATGATGTATTTATTAATGGTGATGTGCACCCACTTATGGCATGTACGTATGTGCACACTTCTGGTCTCATACGCATACTCTGCCATATATGCACAAGCATGCTTTCCCGCATATGCACGCACACTCTCCTGGTCAGAGTTATTCTCTTCTTGTCGTGTTGACAATGGTCGTTTTTCTTCCTTCTGTTTCCCAAGATCAATGTAGTGTGTTATTGAATCTATGAATATTATAGTCAGACCTCACTTATCCGGTTCTCTTTTATCCGGATCCATCGCCATCCGTAAGAAGATCGTCGGTTACCGACTTGTATTGCAGCATATGCCATGCATGCATACAGTATGCGTGTTCGATTGTCCGGTTCCCTCGCCTATCCGGACATTTTTTGTGGAAAACGGATGTGTGCGGTTAAGCGAGGTCTGACTGTGATACTTCCCAACATAACATGGCGCAGTGAACTATTTCCCAACATTTTTTCTAGCCCGGTCGTTTGCATTTTGCCTGCATTGTTTGCAGTAAATATCAGTTTGGTTTGATCGTCATGTCTAACGAAGAATGTAGTTTGGATACATGATCCGTCAAACTAGGTAGTAGCCCCATGGAGCAGATTTTTTTCTTTAGTTTAAAGCACACGTTCCTACTGATGATCTGGGATAACAGTAAAGTAGGACAGAAGACTAGGACAATCAGACAAAAGGGGTAGGACATGCAAAAGCAAGGTGCAGGTGAGATGAGTCTAGTTAGTCCGACCAGAGGTCTCAGAGTCAGCACGGGATGTGCGCACGAGGAAGGGTTAGGGACTGGTTGGGAGGGGAGAGGAATGTAGTACGAAAAGAAGCAGCATAAAATAGAAAATCAAATTAATATGTAAGGTGTTCCGGAATCTCAGCGATTCCGTTCCCCAGGACACAAGACACAAAGGATAAGACTGGTTTGTTTTACATAATATATTTGGACATTATGGAAAGGTAGACTACTCTGACAGAGACGAACAAGAAGACTGACAAAAGGACTCTCGACTACAAAATTGCGCATGCACATATCACACATGCACACGACTAGACGAGACAGTTTGGAGAATGCCTTCAAACAGGAAAGCAACACAATCATTTTACAACAAAGGCGTTCACCGATCAGGGCGAATGGCAAGGATCTCCTGATGTACTGTGGAGCAACTGGTGGAAGTGGGTTGATGAGCTGGCACGTGCTGACTGCGTGATCGCGGTGTATGAACCATGGGGGCCGCTGGCGGGAGCATGGCTTCTAGTTGCTGTCGGCTCTGCCAACACTGCAGTTTGAACCAGTAGCAGAGGCCGGAGAGGGTGCATTAGGCAACCAGGCTCCGGAGTAGAGTACCTGGTCCAATGATAGCCATCACATGCTATGGATTCGATCAAGTCGGGCGAGGTTGCTCGGACCAGCAGGCATCCAGACCAGGGTAGCATACTCTAGCATAGGGCGGACAAAGCCACGGTACACTGTTTGGTCGAAAATTCGAGCTGCACAGCATAGGAGCTCAAGCTGCTGGCTGGCACTAACGGTTGAACTGGCAATGTGGGCTCGAAATGAGAGTTTCTCATCAAATGGCACTCACCCCCAGGAGTGTTAGGATAGTGAACTGGGCAAACTGCCAGTACACCAAACAAGGTTTTGGACTTTGCTGGGTCAGGAGATGTTGTGCAGAGCATTTGCTGAAATTTAGCTGGCTCAAACTTCACCCTCCAGCGCTCCTCCCATTCATTCAGGTGGGTTAGAGATGCTTGCAAGGAGGCATTGTTGTTAGCAGGGGTTCCAGAACTCAAGAGACTGTACACGGTGGTGTCGTCGGCAACGGAACTCAGGCTAGTTCCCAGGGTTAAGCATTAATCGAGGTCGCTGACATAAAGAAGGAACAGATAACATACTTGGTCAATGTCAGCAATATTGTCACGTATCTTTCGACAATTTGAACTTAGACTTTGGAACTCAATGTGTGCACTTGAGACGATAAAATTTGGAATGATGGAAGGCAAGGTACAGAATGACAACTGGCCAAGAGACATTCATTGTCCAAGGAAGGGTTCATACTTTTTTGGTCCCCCTCGTCGCTGCTCTCGGCGCTAGTGACAAAGATTTTTTGCTCAGGATCGACACTCTCGCTTTCGCAAGCTCATCGCTCTTCCTCTCCGTTGCCTGGCTACTTTCTAAAGGGAAGTCAAACATGACTATCGCCTTCTCCAAAGCACTTCGTGTGGGCAGCACAACTGCCTGTGTGGTTCAAATCAGTCGCCGTCCTTTGCAAGATTTATTTGGAACGACGGCGACGCGTACAATACTTGCATATCTCTACAATTTGCTGGATACTCCAAGCGTTGAGCTGGAGGTGAGGGAACTGCGATCACGGATTGGCGAGCGATCCCTGAGGTGAGCGATCTCGGCCATTTTGCAAAATGAAACTGATCCCGAGTAGCCAATTACTTTCTTGTGTGCCGCGCTGCTCTTGCCTTTGCAGTGTGACAAGATAATCTATTCTGATGCAGCGCTGTCCCCATCAGAACCACCCAGGCGTTGCTCTCGAAATCCACTCGAAATCTAGCCAGGCCTTTCAGGTACTAGTAAACGAACCTACTGTTAGGTACCTCATCCTGGACCTTTTCTAGCTGGCCTGCATGCACTTTCGTACTCACCTTTTGTCTCCTTTTGTTCCGTTGGCCTGGGTAGCTACTTGCGCACCCATATTTGCCATAGCTAGTCGTCCTTTTTCGTATTCAACATTGGCGCCGGATTATTGATCGACCCACGACCTGAGATCATCCCATGCCCAGCCGTCCTCAACCGCCATTCGTCTCGTCCATGTCAACCTCGTCTCGTCCATGTCAGTCTCGTCTCTCCTACGCCAATCTCGTCTCGTCTCTATCAACCTCGTCTCTCGTACGCCAACCTCGTCTCGTCTCGTTCAAGCCATGCAGGTCAGCTACCTCTCTCTCTTTCTTTTTTTTGTATGCGTTCCTTCTTCGTCAAATTTATTTTCGTGAATTTTTGTAGTGTGTGTGCGCGCGTGTGTTCATAAAACATTACCAAGTTAGGGGTCCGATCATGGTGAGCCACGCTCTAATTTTTGGATGTTTAGCAAAAGTGTAACTAGGCTGTATTTGCCGTGCAAAATACTAGTAATTCACGTTCCTCGTCAAACTCGAATAGTTTTTACACACTATAAGTAGTACAGGAATGATCTGTAGTGCATTTTTAATACACACTTTTGTGAGATCCGTGCGCGCGTGCAATATGTGTGTGTGTGTTTTTTCCTCCAGTCATTTTTTAAAATCTTTTTCTCTCTTTTTTTCTCTCCGCGAGGACACGGGATTTTTTCATGGAGGGGTGGTATGTTAGGTACCTCCTCCCGTACCTTTTCTAGCTGGCCTGCATGCACTTGCGTACTCACCTTTTGTCTCCTTTTGTTCCGTTGGCCTGGGTAGCTACTTGCGCGCCCATATTTGCCATAGCTACCCAGGCCCTTTATCTTGCCGTTCAGACTTGCTCTCTTTTCTCACTCTTCAATAATCACCATGTAGTCGTTTCGTTCGTCTTGGTCTCTTGTCCCGTCTCTAATAAATGTCATTCCACCAACCTACCTGCTCCCATTGTAATGTCTGGATAATGTGTCGTCAGTCATCCTTTTTGTATTCAACACTACTAACCAAAATTGGCATTGGCAACATAAAAACAAAGCTGAAATATAAGTGACAATATTGCTGACGCGGACCAAGTAATACAATAAACCAATTGAAAATGAACAAATTCTGCAGTGATCGACCTTCTCTGTGGTGGAGCTAAGCCTTTCATACGTCATCACTGCGCTTGTCGCTATGGCAACATGAACATACAATTGGCGATGTGGCAAGTTTAGCTTGTCGTATTATATGGAAGCAAGAGATATGCTAGTTGATGACTGCCTTGTATATGATAACGACTTCCCGTCACACGTTCGCCATGTCCGCGACGTTCTGCTCTGCGCCCGTGAACATGAACATGGGATCACGTTCAGTGCTTCTAAGTTTGTATTCGGCTCCCAACACATTCATTTCTTTGGCTATGTTGTCACTCTGGAATTCGCGACTTTTCGAGTGCCGATGAAGAGAACTGATGTGCGTTCCTCCGTCAGACTGGTAAACCAATGCAGTGAATTCAAACCGCACCTGGTTGAGTTAAGGAGTCCTCTTCGTAGGCTGCTCAAGACATCCACAAGTTCCTATGGGATGCAAGTTATACTGCTGAGTTTGAGAAAACCAAAAGCGCTCTGCTACTGCCATTTGTCCTAGTGTACTTTCAAGTTGGTCGCGACTTCCGGCTTGAAGCAAATGCATCCGCTCTACGTGGTCTCGGTTTCGTATTATGGCAGCAGCAAGATGGCCAGTGGCGTATGATGTGTGTGTGGGCCCAACTACCTATCGGATGTTGAGACTCGCTATGCTGTGATTGAGTTGGAGATTCTTGCCGTTGTCTGGGCAATGCACTAGTTTTTTACAATGATCACAACTCACAGGCAAAGGCAAAAAATGCATTATTATTATTACTATTATTGTGAAAAGAGGAAGGACAAAATGTTACGAGCTATGACTAACTGTCCACAAACGTAACCAGATCTTATACCGTCAGTGAGTGCGACAAAATGGCACAAAACTGACAAGGAGTACTGAGACATTCGGCGACCTCCGAGTTACATTATTATTATTATTATATTATTATTATTTGAAACTCAGATGTTGAGCCATAAATAAATGTAGAAAAGAAAAGGACATATGGAAATGAGTTAAGAGTAACTCTCCATCACTGTAACTGGATACTACATACAGTCAGAAAGTGCAATAACTAGGCACAAAACTGACAAGAGTACTGAGACATTCGACGTCCTGACACCTAGCTTCAACACATCTCCGTAGCGCTAACCGACAGCCTTCCAACTTGGAAGGTTCGAGGTTATGAAAAGACCAAAGAGGGGAAGAGCGAAGAGTCCTCCCTGCGCCATATCCAAGCAGGGGTACCACAAGGTAGCATCCTTGGACCAACGTTATTCCTCCTGTACGTAAATGACTGCGAGAACACCTTGCCTGCTGGTGCTGAGCTTGCCACCTATGCAGACGACACGACACTGTATCAGTGCATCTCTGCCACCGCCAACATATCCGACTCTGCAGCACAACTTCAGGAAGCAGTGGACGCCGTCTCCCACTGGGGTTCTAAGGGGAAGGTCCCCTTCAAGCCATCCAAATCTCAGGCCCTCATCATCGACCACCGCAAGCCTCCCCCAGCGTTCCCACCAGTGCTCTTCAATAGAGTGACTGTTCCGGAAGAGAAGGAAATTACACTCTCGGGCATAGCATTCGACTCGCAACTGTCCTACGCAGCACACCTCCGGGCCGTGGCCTCAAAGGCTGCCCAACGCCTACACTTCCTGAGAAAGGTTGCACCCCTGGGACTCCAGCGGCCGCACGGCAGTCTACAAAGGCTTCGTGCGGCCAACAATGGAATACTGCTGCCTGGTGTGGATGGGGTCAAGTACATCCAGGCTGGACAAAATCCAGCACAAGGCACTGAAGGTCATTGGCCCAGGCTCCTGGCTCCCCAGCCTGAAACACCGCCGACTGGTTGCTGCGCGTTCGTTCACGTTCAAGCTGTCCTACCTTCCAACAACAAGCCCACTGAAGGCCATCCTCCCATCTCCAGCCAACCCCCGCCCAGTGGGTGGTCGATGCACTAGGTTAGCCACGGAGACTGCCCACTGCCACCCGGTCCAGCTGAAGTCGATGCTGCCCGTGCGCATTTGTAGCAGCCTCCAGGGTTCCTACCCAGACTGCATTATTCCCTTGTGGAACAGCCTACCAGCGACCATTCTACCAGCACGGCCGCAACCCAGACAGCTCCAATCCTTCAAGGAAAAATGCAACAAGTATCTGCTGCACCTGAACTGGCAAGCAGCCATCGATGCCCTATGAAGCGGTTTAGACCAGTGCCTCACTAGCATCCCCCCCCCCTTACCACAATGTGACGTTATCTTTCACTCTGCTTCTCTCACGACCATCTACCCATTGTCCTTGTTTCTCACTATTATTCATTTCCCCTCTTCCTCCCCTCCTCATGGTTTTACTGCATTATGGCGCGCTTTGTCTGCGTAGACGCCGAGACCTTTGAGGTCGGCAGAGCAGCCTGGCCCCGCCATCACTGCTCGTGCATATTCGGGAATATAGTGGACTTAAGTATAAAATAAAAATAAAAATTGTTCTATGCATCAGTGATATAGCGGCTGTGCTTCCACATGCAGTGTGCAAACAAGAGATTGCAGATGATATCGTTATTGATTCCTCCGACCATGATTCTGCTGGTGTTTGTGCTGTGCTCACGACAGCAGTCACCCGTGGCATCTTTCGTCCTGGCATGAGAACAAAGGTTTGCTATTGAACTCAGCTAAGACTCAATTGATGTTTATTCGTCCCAGAGGTGCGTTTGATGCTGCTCCGTCACTCGTCACATGCAACAACAGTGTTCTGCAAGTCACACATATGGCAAAATACCTCGGTGTGTTGATTGATGACCAGCTAACTTGGGCACCTCACATCGATTTTCTGGCTAAAAAAATTGGCGGTGACCACTGGACAGCTTTGGAGGCATGGCCGGGCCTTGTCACTGACGGCATGTCGAACGTGGCATAATTTCTATGATACCATCTCATTTCTGTTACGCCTTAAATTGCTTCTTTCCTGTGGTTTCACGGTGTCTGCTAAATTGCCTTGTAAAACTGCACAAGTCTGGGATTCGTGCTGTGTTTCAGGCTCCCTGCCGCACTGCAACAGCTCCTTTGCTTGCTAAGTTATCCATGCCATCATTTCACCAAGTCCTTTTACAGAAGCTGCTTGTATTTGTTTCCCGGTCTATACACGGATCTGCAAGCTCTCTTTTTCAAGATTATTTTGTATTACTTGCCCAGTCTCAGATACAACTTGCTGATCGTATGGTTGCCCATGGACAGCTGCATAATTTTCTTCGCATCCCGTTTCTACCCAATCCTGCTGGGAGATGTTCTATCCAATTTATGGGCAACGCCGCATGGAACTCTCTACCCGATGCTACCCGCTCTCCAACAAACCTTGTTCAGTTCAAATAATCCCTTTCAGATCTTGATCCCACTTCACTCCATTAGCTATTGACACACTATTACGTCCTGTCCCCAGTCCATCATCTAACATATCCCCCATATTATCTACATGTACAACCACAACATACATAAAATACACTGTTGCATGGTATTTACTTGAAGTATAATTGTCCTGCTGACAGTCATGACATCTTATTATTTCCCATACTGTTCATATTAATTTTGATCATATTCATCTATCATACAATTTCATTTTTCATCATAGCCTAGAAGCTGTGGCATTTTGATCATATTCATCTATCATACAATTTCATTTTTCATCATAGCCTTGAAGCTGTGGCATAATTTATGATCCCCAGCAAGAAAGCAGCAATGCCTGTAAAAAAATGACTAGGAGTACTGAGACATTCGGCGACCTGACACCTAGCTACCTAGCTTTCCTTCCCCTGTTGGACCTTTCCGAACCTGAGCCTTCCAAGTTGGAAGGGGTTGTTGGTTTGCGCTTTAGAGAAGTGTTGGAGCTATGTGTCAGGTCGCCGAATGTCTCAGTACTTCTTGCCAGTTTTGTGCCATTTTGTCGCACTTGCTGACTGTATAAGATCTGGTTACATTCGTGGACAGTTAGTCATAACTCGTAACATTTTGTCCTTCTCCATTTTCACCATAATTCGAATGGCTCACCATCCAAGTTGAAAAAATACCTCGTGGAATTATCGAAGAAATTCAGGGTCAGTTCTTCACTGCCATGGTGGACGAAACTACCGACTCTAGCACTATTGAGCGGACGACTGCAGTATTCCGCTGGGTAGATGACCAGCTGGAACCACACGAGGATTTTTTTGCATGTATGAGCTGGAGAAAGTCGATGAAGCCACGATTTTGGCACTATTCAAGGATATGTGCACAAGAATCAAGCTGCCATTAGAGTTCTGCCGTGGACAATGTTATGATGGGGCATCTGACGGTTGTAGCGAGGAAGAGGAAGACACCAGCTCGCTTTGTTGTTGGCACCGGCTAGGGTTACTATCCTGAAAGCCCTGGAGACTATTACAAGCCTATCTACTTTGCCGCCATTGATACTGTGATGGCATGCCTCAAAGAGCGATTTGATCAGCCAGGGTATGAAGTTTACAGGTGCCTGGACGGAGTTGTACTGAAAGCTGGCAATGCGGAGAAGTTTACAGTGCTGAGCTGGCACGGGTTGTGGACATGTACGCAACAGACATCAATGTCCCACTGTTGCAAACACAACTGGTGCTGCTCAAGTCCTTGTGCTGCACAGGAGGTGGTGGAAACATCTCCATTGGCACAATCAAGACAGACCTCCTCAACCTTAGCAGAGGTATTGAACTAATGTCGGAGAAATTTACCATCATGAAGCTTATCCTCGTCATGCCTGCAAGCAATGCCACCAGCGAGAGGTAATTTTCAGCTCTTCGACAAATGAAAACCTATATCCGCACCAAAATGGCCCAGGCTCGCCTTAATTAAAGCACTGCTTCTGCTGCATATCTACATGGACAAAGAAGATTTGCTGAGCTTGCGGCAATGTGGCGATGATTTCATTGCCGCCAATTAGCATCGATTAAAGATCTTTGAAAGGTTCAAATAGACATCTTTCCAGACCAATCCTAATTCCTAATTGTGTATAGTTTCATTCTCATCACATCTGCCTGTCTCTGTCACGGGATGCCCAAATTGGCTCTTATTCACGTAAATTTTCAAAATATATTCGCAATGATGATGCCTGATTGTTACGAATTGTATAATAGCTTTATCCGTCACATCTGCCTGTCTCTCTCTCACAAGATATCCGGATTGGCTCATTTTCTCGAAGATTCTCAGATACATTTCCCTGGGGAGACCCCCCATAGACGTCGGCCTGAAAAATCGCAAACTCCTTTCTCCGGCCCTGCTCAGTATCTACACATCCGGTGGTGGGCCATCCAAGGACTTGATCAGTATTCATTAGTATGGTCAATGAGTTTGCTTCTCCGTATCACTGGCAGCTGACACCACTCGCCCCCTTATTCCTCACACGTGTCACAGACATCAGTTGGTGGTGAAGCTATTACAATACGCCAACACTGTGGCACTCCAAATGTTCCGAAATAAATCATACCCGACAGCTTGGATGTCAGATCCCACACATGATGACCAGTACTGCTTATGCATGGAGCGGATGGTGTTGGACGCAGTCAAGTAGATTGGTGGCGTGCCTGCTCAGCCACGTAGAAGAGCTGGGTACGGTGTTCCAGGGTGGTCAGCAACTGCTTTCAGGAAAGTGACAACATTCTCAACTGCAGGATACGGCAAGCCATTGTGTGGTTTCTTCCGCTTGTTGGCATTCTCCCTCGGTACACGACCAGACGTGTTCAAGTGTTTCAGTATATTTCGTGGTTGCTTCGTGGTTTGGCTGAGAGAGTGTTGCTGTAATGAGTTGGGAATGCAGTGAACTAGTGTGGTGACTATAAAAGCATACACAGTCTGGGAAAATTGTAGATGTGTTCCTGTAATGAGTTGGGAATGCAGTGAATTGGTGTTGTGATTATATAACCATAGTACACACTATGGAATAATTGTAGATCTGAAGTACATGATGAAAGCCCCTCATTGTTCCCCCTGAAATCTATTGATTTTCATTCTGACTTCTGTTAGACGCATGCTTGTGGAAGGACCACCTTGCGAAAGGATATAAGTCTATTTCAGACACTGGAAACGTGACTTGCTCCACGGGCTATATGGCAGTCCATGATGCCAACACTCCCAAATGCAACGACGGAACTTGGAAATTCACGGCTGTTTGTAAAGGTTAGTTTTAAAGTGGTTCCAAATCATGTTAACGTTTAACATCCCCACCCATCAAAAACTTGTCCCATCATTGCGAAACTTTCACACAAGTGTATTTTGGTTGTGTAATGTTCATGTCAAAATGGGTTTAGTTTCCTTCAGGGATAGCTGGGTTAGAGGCATGTTCCCATATGGTAACAACGGGATCATGGGCGTATAAAATACCTAAATAAGACGATAGCTATTGAGAGTGATTGGATTCATCCAAATGACTTTGGAAACAAAATGGATTGGTTAGGGGAACATTTCCCAGTGTTGGACGACGTCCCATGTGCCGAAATAGCCGAAGCAATTGGTAGACAATAGACGCGGGTCAAATTATTTAAAAATTGCACATCAAATCACACGACGCCACTTTCATGAAGTCATGCCCTAGTGTACACTAAGTGATCGGAAACTAGAGAACAACAGATAAGCTAAAATCCCTCAGTTGCAACTAATCATTAGTCGTATGGAATGATCTTTTACTCGAACTGCTCAGCTTCTGCACATCGTGGTGACAAACTGAGTATATGGCAAACGCATGCTTCTCCCAACCTTTATATGGACCACAACCAGCTAAAACATGTCTTAGAGTGAAATTTTTCAAATTTTGTTTTCCTCCAGAAAACACTTCTTGGGACCTTACTTGACATCTTGAAGGTGATACAGGGCAGAAAAGTAGTCTACAAGTGCCCCAAACACCGCTTTCAAAATATGTACTTTGAAATAGAAAATGACAGTTTTCGCACAGTCTGACACAAAGAGACAAACTATTATTTAGTGGCTTTTGTGGCGGAGCACACGGGACTAAAGATGTTGACACAGACTTGAGCATGTCAACAACATCAGTTCGAAGGCATAGCCCAAGTTCTTCCTGGACAGCACCACGATACTGTGGGCGGCGTTGCACTTGCATTCTCTTTCGATTCTGGCAGTGACACTTTCGATCGTCGCCTGCACTTCTGAGACTGCATCAGACGACTCATGAGAGCTGAACGGCAATTAACGTCGTAAGGCAGCCGGTCCGCCGCCTGATAATTATGTACGCGCCCACAACTTGTGCCTTTTCGCTACTGGAGACGATGGGGACGATTCAGCTTCGCTGTCGACATCAACATCACTGAGATCCCAACAAACTGTCAGCGTCGCAGACCCGCCCGCACGGACTTGCTGACACCTGACCAAACCTGCGCCATGGACAGCGATCGTCTGGCCCTGCGAGCTGCTCTATAGTCTGTTTCAAAAAGATTAGCAATCAGGTTTTGGTCTTAAAAAGTATGAAGATAAGGGAAAATTGGACAACCAAGTACATAAAAGGGCTGGTTAGGGCATGGCAAATTGTTCTGTGAAGGTTTCGGAACAATTGGACCAGCCGTTAAGGAGTTAGAATTTCGGCCAGGTTTCCGGCCTTTTCCCATGGTTTACAATTTGCCCTGGAAGCCAGTATCGATTTTTCTATCAAAACCCATGATTTATCTTTTCCTTTCTGGCCTTGTGGTTATGGATGCTGTCTGGTGACCATGAAGTCGCGAGTTCAAATCCCAACCTGTCTTCAACTCACACTTTTTTTCATTGTTTTTTTGGTGATCAAGCAGACTTGTTGTTGTTCACGGTTGTTGTTGTTGGAGCTCCCGCTTCCTCTCGAACTGACTGACACTTGACTGGCTCACGCCATGTGAACACACCCTCAACACTGAAACGGTGTGAGTGAATACGGAAGTCATTGCGCTGTAGCTACGTGTTGAATACACCGGCACATCGATCGATTTCTTTTTGAGAATTATTTTAGTATTTCAAGATCGCCAATTTATTGAATTTAGAAGTCAACGCCGTCTTCTATCAGCTTCCACAGGCGTCTGCTTTTCTCAAAATGTTGTCGAAGTCATACGGATAGCTTCGCCAAGTCATGGCCTTGGGAATGAGTCTGTGTCGATGTTGTTTTCGTCACATGGTGAGAGTAAATTGCATCGCAGCTCAAAGAAACTATTTGGTCACAAAACATATTGGGACCCATGCCGCGCCGCTCGTCAGCCTTGGCATTTACTACACTTTCGACATGTCCTCTCTGACTCCAGTCCATAATCGATACGAGGAAGAACTCGTTTGTTGTGAACCAGACGTACACGACTAGACTGCACCGACATCGACCTGAGTGAGTTGTCATTTTTCATGCTTTCGCGCGGAATATTTCTTCGAGTTCACAGTGAGTTTTTGCAGGCAGCGCTCGAGCGCTCATACGGTAAGACGGCAAACTCCCCGGGCGATCACCAGGATTGCTAATCTTTTTGAAACTGACTGTAGTTGCTCTAGTGTCACTAGATACGAACATTGTCAGTCTTTGCTCGCCGGCTACTTGAACAAGACCGCCAAACAAGTGTTTGAACAAAATTTGAGAAGATGATCCCCACAATCATGAATGAAGTGCAGAGTGAACGCGCTCGAAAAAACATTTCTTTTCATTTTCGTCATTTCTCCACTTTTTTTACGAAACCCCAAAGACATGTGGTGTTAGTGGACAGTATACATAACTTGTAGTTCCTTGGTCTTTCTCTTTATATAAATTAAACCTTGGCTCTCCATCTGAGGCCATTAATTTGAAAAGGTGACATAGAGGCCATAATCTTTAATATTGCAATGAATAAAACTACAGGCACACCCATATCACAATCATAGCACCGAATATATAGATCCAGAACGTTTTCTGGTCACAATTGTCGATGGAAACTCGTGACTGAAGATAATATCAAATTCTGGAACAATATATTCGTTGCTAGAATGGGATATGAGGGTGCGTATAGTTTTATTCATTGCATTATTAACCCTTTGCGCGCTGAGTACGAGTTAACTCGCACTTTATGCATGACCTGATCCACTACGTACGAGTTAACTCGCAAAAAATTCGCGCACTGTATCTCAGTGCATAGACCAGTGTACAAACTTTCGTAACTTCGTCAAACATAAATGCATCGCGACAATCAATACACTGTTGGAAAGATCTTCACCTCATCTTTCCGGGGGTATAAAGTTCTTCGTGATAGGATAAGAATTCATTCAGCGGCGACAAGATGAACACGGAAATCATGGCCCAGATGCAGAGTGAACGCGAATTGTTTTGTTCATAAATTCTTTTTGTTGCAGAGCGTGCCAGGGGATTTCCCTTTTGGCACGGCGCATGCGTGATGGACATAAAATGAAGCGCTTGGATCTGAGCTTTGCAGCGCAGTTTGAATTGTGAAAATCTGTTGAATTTGGGCAAGAAGCCGAACAAGAATGTGAAATTGAGTTGTTGTGCCGTTCCGAGGCACGGTGGAGTAATTCGGAGAGAACCTGGATGTGGCCCTGATGTGTATATGGAGCTGAGAGCTGCCAGGATGGATTCGCTTGGTCCTGGTCTTTCCAACGAGCCCAGGACGATGAAAATCCATCAAGGTTGAGTAAAATCAGAATAAATTTCGTTCGGAGCTGTGAGTGCATACTCCACCAAGAGAGTCAGTGCGCTGGACGGCCAGTGGATTGGAGAAAAGGGGCTCAGCATGCAAAGGGTTAATAATCTGCTTTGGCTGGGTTGGTAAGTATGTACCTGGTCCTGTGGATACTAATTCTTTTCATTGGACCAGAGTGTCAGGTAAACGACAACAATGCAAAAGACTATAAGTCTCTTACAGACTCTGGATACATGACTTGCTCCCAGGGCTATGTGGCAGTCCATGATCACATAGTATTGGGACTCTCTGAACTTCTACCTTTAGAATTGTAGTCTCTTAGAAATTTCAATCATTCCCTGTTGTATTGTGAGAAGAAGGGAACAAAAATGCTTATGACACATGTCCTAATTGGCTGGTGGTGCACTCTTGCGTAGGGGCATGTGTAGATATTACATTTCTTCATCATGCCAACACTCTCAGTGTCAATTTTTCAATTTTTACAGGGCAGTTGTAAGACCAGCGCATTGGCCGACTGGATGTGGGTCTGCCTGCGAATCACAAAGTCCCGAGTTGGAAGCCCGCTCTGGGAGCAGGGAGTGTGTACTGTGGCGATGCATGCATGAATTACTTACACAGCGGTGACCTGGCAAAAGAGAAATTGCCTAACCTGCTTGTGCATTACAACAAAATCGAAGAGCATGTTGTTTCCTTTTTTACACCGCCATTTTGTCTTTAAATGTCTGTAATGACCAAAATAATATCACCGAACATGGTCAAATTTCCGATTTTGCTCCGCTCCTTTCATCCCTGGGTGGACCTTGTTCGCCAACTTTGATGGTTTGGTCAAGGGACAGGTTAGGAGGTTTCACCACACGGATCGCCACCATGTGCCTTTCGCTATGCGACCAGCACTGAGGCATTATGTGAATAATCCGTGCCCTCACAGAAACTCGATTGAAGCCACCACAAAGCATCAATTGCTGAACAACAGCCCGATATGAGGAGAAAGAAGAACTGGTCCACAACAACAAATCAGCAAAGACTGCAACAATAGTGCAAGATGGCCCGGAAAGTTCTCGTGTACTGGGCAGCTAGTGCCCACTAGCCTCTCATGCATGCCACGTTGCCATTAAAGTTAAACACTTCTCTCAGGTTGCTATTGGCCCACCTACTTCCGGTGCATGAGCGGCTACATCGTGAACTTTTCAGGTACCAGAGGGCCGCGGCTTTGCCCCAAAGAAGATTTTGTTAAATTCTTGAATATGCAACTGGAATCCTGGAGTGTACAACTGCTAAGTCAGGATTTTCTGCTTGTACGGCAAGACATCGATGCACATGCGAAACTCACGTGCACTAGCTTTCATTGTTTACAGGGCTAGTTTGTCTTTAAAGCAATCCCTTCATATCTTCCACCTACCGCATCTGATGAAGTTAAACACATGTCTCACTAGATTTAAACTCGGATACTGAGCCAGTAATAAAATGTAAAAAAAGAGAAGGAACACATGAGAACGAGTTATGCAGCAACTATCTACGACTGTAACAAGATGATTAACGGTCAGAAAGTGCCATAATAGGGCACAAAACTGATAGGCTACTGAGACATTCAGTGACTCGAGACGTAGCTCTAACAAATCATGACCCTTGCTCCATAACTCGTTCTCATGTGTTTCTTCTCTATTTTACATCTCACTAGATTCTTGAATCCATACATCCTGTACACACACATTGTACACACTCTCTGTAACGGTCTCTAGGCTACACTGCAATTGATATACATTAGCTCAGATTTTCGGGCAAGGCCCAGTAAGGTGTGTGTAGAGGATGCATGGATTCAAGTATTGGCTACAGTGGAGTTTCCAAACCTTCACTAGATTCTTCGTAAATCAATGCCAATAACGAAAATTTTGTATTCTCTGCCCTCTTTTGCAGATCTAGGAATACCTGTATTCAAATGCTATACAGGTGATACCCTATGGATTTTAAATACAACTGCGAACTTAAAGAAAAGCCTGGGCATGTGCTTACATGCAGGACTGTCACTCCCGCAGAATATAGATTGCGTTTCACCAGCACTTTTTTCTCACGCAATTTACGGCAGTGTTTGGTATGTGACAAGACATTGGGATGTGTTCTCAAGGCGCATGAAAGGCTACTCATCGTACCCGTCAGGCCTATCCGCCGCACGTGATGAGTTACACAATGTGGTCTGTATCGGTAGGTCACAAGATATTTGTATCTAGCCTAATTAGCACGATCATACTAACCTTTTATTCCCGTAGCTATGCAGAAGACGTTACTTCAGTAACGTCTGGCGCTAGCCAGGGTCCACACAGCTTTAATTCCCGTAGCTATGCAGAAGACGTTACTTCAGTAACGTCTGGCGTTAGCCAGGGTCCACACAGCTTTAATTTGGTATTTGTTTGTGTGTTTGTTTGTGTCACGCCTGGCGCTATCCGTATCTGAAGGCAAAAAAGCATAGGATGTTATAAATTTTTCAATTGTCCTATTTTTTTTTCAGGCATATCCTGGGATTCGAACCCGCACTATCGCCCTACATGCATTCCCCCATACATTTCGCATTCATACCCATTCTTCGAAGTTGCTTCACGTTATTATCTTGCGTTTGAAAGCCCTATTTGAATATTGCGGGCAGCTGTATGCAGGTATGTGGCCAGCTGTGTTTGATGGTACGGTACGGTACGGGAGACGGTGTCGTATTACCCTCGACCGTACCTGTCCCGTACCTATCCCCTACCGTATCGTGCCATCAAAGACGGCTGGCCACAATGCATATTCAAATAGGGCTTTCAAATGCAAGATCACAATGTGAAACAACTTGGAAGAATTAGTATGTATGCGAAGTGTATCGGGGGATGCATGCAGGGCGCGCGATAGTGCGGGTTCTAATCCCAGGTTATGTCTTAAAGAAAAAGGAATTTTTTAAAGAATTTATAACATCCCTATGCTTTTTTTGTCTTGGTCATCAAGGCAAAAAAGCAAAGCGTAGGGCCCTGAGCTTCCAAGCTCTCTTGTTTGGTATTTGTGTGTTTGTTTGTGTGTTTGTGTCACACCTGGCGCTATCCCGTATCCGCCCCGTACCGTACCAAACACAGCTGGCCACAAACTGCTGGCCGCAATATTCAAATAGGGCTTTCAAATGCAAGATCATAACGTGAAGCAACTTGGAAGGATGAGTATGAATGCGAAGTGTATTGGGGAATGGATGTAGGGCGATAGCGCGGGTTCGAATCCCAGGTTTAATATGCCTTAAAAAAATTGGAAATTTTTTTCATAACATCCCTATGAATTTTTTGCCTAGGTCATCAAGGTGGTAGATGGTGTCGTAATACCCTCGACTGTATCTGTCCCGTACCGTACCGTACCATCAAAGACGGCTGGCCACAAACAACTGGCCACGATATTCAAATAGGGCTTTCAGATACAAGATCATAACGTGAAGCAACTTGGAAGAATTAGTATGTATGCGAAGTGTATCGGGGGATGCATGCAGGGCGATAGTGCGGGTTCGAATCCCAGGTCATGTATTGAAAAAATTCGGAGAAATGAAAAAGTTATAACATCCCTATGTTTTTTGCCTAGGTCATCAAGGCAAAAAAGCATAGCGTACGGCCCTGAGCCTCCAAGCTCTCTCGTTTGGTATTTGTTTGTTTGTGTGTTTGTGTCACGCCTGGCGCTATCCCGTATCTGTCCCGTACTGTACCATCAAACACAGCTGGCCACAAACAGCTGGCCACAATATTTGCTGGCTCCCGTATCTGTCCCGTACCGTACCGTACCATCTAAGACAGCTGGCCACAAACAGCTGGCCACAATATTCAAATAGGGCTTTCAAATGCAAGATCATAACAAGAAGCAACTTGGAAGAATTAGTATGTATGCAAAGTGTATCGGGGGATGCATGCAGGGCGATAGTGTGGGTACGAATCCCAGGTGATGTCTTTAAAAAAAAGAAAAAATGATAAATTTACTACTTCCTCCACCCAAGCAAGATTTTCGCTTATCTTTACACTATTTACCGATAAATTCCAGGTTCTCAGAACGGCTTATAGCGACTCAGAATGAGTTGAGGAGTCATTGAACATCAAAATAAACTATACAAGTCGAAAAATGGAGAAGTCGTCCTTTGTCATCAGCTGACGTAGCACTTGTTGTCGGGAAGTACTTCGCACTTTCCAGAAGCGCAAATATTTCGTATCTACTCTTTTCCACACGCTTCACGTCCTTCATGAGTACGATCGGCAGTGTTTCTTAAGCCTAGTTCACATTCGACGCAACGCCGACGGTACGGGACGTAAGGGCTTGTCGGGAGGGCTGGGGTGAGCTGTAAAATCCTGTACGATTCGTACGACATGACATGCAGCAGTCGTTGCAACGTTCAACGTCGAACGGCGCGAGTCATAAGGCACGGTCAGTGACGGGGTGACTTTCGGACCTAATTTCTCGTTTTTCGGGACTTCTTTTCAATTATTTCTCCTTCAAAGAAGCGGGATCAAGTTCACAATACCAGTTTTTTATGAAGACCAAAAAATTAGCTCTGAAAGTTGTGGCATTAAAATAATAGCCCCAGGAAATGATAGAATAGTTCGTCTGTCACGCTTCTGAACTATACCTAAATACAATAAGTGATATGAGATAAAATTCAACTCAAGTCGTGGTAGCCATTCTGTGAGTCATGGGAAGCGCAGTGTTCGAAATGCTAAAAATGTCCAAGTATGAATCGGGAGTAGTCGGCGCACAACGCCGTCTCCTGTTCACATTCGATTTGCAGCGTTTTTGTACGCTTGCGTCCCCGTCGAGGCCCGTCTACGGTATGAAAAGTTGGATCGATCCAACTCTTCCCGTCGCTGCCCGATCTGTACGGTAGTACGGTTGCGTTCCCATTCCTGGTGTTCACATAGGACGCCGTCAGACCGTCCCGTCGCTTCCCGTCGATCCTTACGTCGCGTCCCGTCGCGCCCCGTCAAATGTGAACTAGGCTTAACCAGCCAAAGCTGGTTTGCTGTGAGCAGCTCTGCTACCAGTGTGCCAGTGGTTACTATAATTTGTATCCGACTACTTCTCTCCATGACGCCTTTCAACGAACCAAATATTCAGCACAAAACGTTCTCCATCCAAATCGCCAGGGATTCACTCGTATATGGGCGAGCATCGCTGAGTGGCTTTCTCAACTTCAAGCTCGCAGGCGTTTACCATACACGCATCATGTGGCGGAAACACGCTGGTTTTTCGCAACATGACACCTCTGTACTCCAGTGCAGCTAGCACCCACCTTGACCAGTGACCAGGTGACTGACTTCGTGTGTTTTTTTTACCACTGAGTTTACTCGCCTTCAACGCACTCTACTCTGAGTTTTTCTTTACTCTTTGCCGACTTCGCCGACTTGTTTGGAACTGGTGCGCCTGGACCAGCAGATTTGTGTGATGGTGAAGTGCACAAGATGTAAAAAATACCTGTCAGATACCTGTCAGTGGGCTGAAGGAGATAAGCGAAAATTTTGCCTGGGCGGAGGAAGTATGCTTTTTTTGCCTAGGTCATCAAGGCAAAAAAAGCATAGCGTACGGCCCTGAGCTTCCAAGCTCTCTCGTGGGCAATTGCACAGTTTTATTGAAACTTCAAGCGGGGATTTCAGTGGGCGATCTTCATCATTTTTCGATTTTTTTCGACAAATCCACAGCTGAGATGCATGCAGAATGAACGAGCATAAAATCTACGTACCTCACTAGTAAAAAAAGTTCGCGAAAAATCTCACTGAACATTGCACACACAACAGTGCATTCACTCTCAATAGAACTCAAAGGTTTTTCAATGCTTCACTTTGGCAACTTTCATAAATACGAATTCGGTCTAGTCTTTTTTATATGAAAGTTTTGTCCATGTAAACTGATCTGGATACAACTTCTGTATAACAAATCATGGCTGTTCTTGAGTTACCGCATTTTCCGCACTAATGTAATCGGTCCATAAAGGGTTAATAATGATTAGTCTGGTTTCAGTATCTGTCGTCTGATGATGGCTGTTGTCGCCACTCGCCTATTTGCATGTTTCAAGATAGCCTATTGAATGATTCTCGTTTGATCTTACCTTGTTTGTTTATGTTACAAACTACATGTTCTCACGGGTGAAAGGCCTTCTCGCTTATGATATTGTAGTTGCTTGAATGTTGTTTCTTGACTCCACCATACTGCTGATGTTTTTACTACCATATTTCCACGTAAGTTAGTTCTCCCCAATGACTTAGTACTCCCTACAAAAAAATACACTTTCCACTGCCGAGGTTGTAACCCCGAAAGACAGTTCCTCCTGAAAGATAGAAGTTGCCCAACTAAAGGAAGAAGTAGAGGGAATGCAGTCCACAAATCCCATACCCGTAGCGTCCCCAGCCTGCACGGACCAAGGGAAATTGTACAGTAGCACTGCAAGTTAAGCTGCCTCACCAACAGGCACACACACCAGCACGGACGGTAGCACACGTACTACTACAAGAAGCAGTACCCCAACGGCCAGACCTGAACTGCCCACCAAATCTCAAACACAACATACAAGCATGAGCGACAATGGGTGGCAAAACCCACACCGCCGCCGCACTGCACAAGCCGAAACCAACACTACCAGTAGTCCCCTGAAACGCATTATCACAAGCCAGTTCACAAAAGAGCCAGCCCGTACCAAGCACACTGCCCTTCAGGGCATGGAGCGGGTGAAGCGCACGGCTTTCTACCTTGGCAATGTAGACCGTGTACATGATGCTGCCTCAATTGAACTGTGGTGCAAAAAGAAAGATGTCGAAGTTTTCACTGCTCAATCTCAGAATCGCGGTACTTTGGTACAGCTTATGCCCACTTGGTTGTGGGAGAGAACTGTGTAAAAAGGATCCAAGGACCTGTTTTCTGGCCTGACAAAATTAGTATCCAGAAATGGAGGTTCCACAGTGACCAGGCTGAGTCTGAATAATGAGTAAACCAACACCTCAACTTGACCCTAACGCAACACCCTTCTATCGTCCAACGCACCTAGCCTTCTTTCCCGTAGCCTGTATCAATGCACGTTCCCTTAGAAACAAATCTGCTGAGCTATCCGACCTGCTCACGACCAGCTGTCACTCATTGTTTGCATAACTGAAACCTGGTTTTGTCCACAAATGTCCCTCTCTTTCCCAGGCCATGAATGTTTTCGAAGGGGTCTACCCACCTCA